ATAGATAGATAGATAGATAGATAGATAGATAGATATATAGATAGATAGATAGATATACATAATATATATAAACAACAATTCGTGCAAAATTAATGAGTAAATATGGCTATTTCATCATGGCGAATTTACGTAGTTGCTTTTCTCTGAACTTCAAAGCTTATGGAGAGTATTTTTTTCCTACAAGTTTAAAAACTAATTCTCGAACTAACTATCGAACGCTAATTTTTTGTACATTTTTCTCCACATTCCCAATTTTAAGTTTCTCAATTTTTCAGCTTTTGCGCAACAAAACAAAATGCAGCGAAATTTATACACTCAAAACAACAGTGTCAATAACATCTTCTTTAATGATTTTTTTAATATCGAGATTTGCTATTTTATTTTGATTAAATTATTTTTATTTAGATCATAAATTGATTTAATTTTTTAAAAAATGTGTTATATATTTTGCATTTTTCCATAAATAACTTACAAATATTTCATTCTTTTTGTTTAAAATGTTTTTTCCGTAATTTTAATTTTTATTCTATCGTTAATTCATATTGATTTTTAACATTTATATTAACTCTGTTATATAAAAAAAATTTTTACCATGTTTTCATAGAATATTGAGTTTCATCGTTTTATCGAATATGTAAGAAAACATGAGAATTTATACTTAGATCTTTCTCTAGGTAGCATAATATGTCTTATTCAAAATAAGTGGAATGAGATCTAAAACTAATTTGTTTTATTTTAAGTAAGAAAATGTCAATAAATGTTCTTAATGAAATTTTTATCGCTAAATAGACAATCGAGGATAAATCCATTTGGTGGAGTTGATACAAATTCCATTCTAATAGTTGAAATATATAAACGGTATAAACTAATTGGATTAATTTGACTTATCACACTAACCTTCACGTCTTCAGATTCCGAAGATGAATTGAACATTTTTGACGGAAACGCCTTTTATGAACGCATTCTTAAGGAAAATTAACAGAGAATTACCCGCTATTATACAATTTAATGATAATTTCCGATGACAAAATTTATGGTTTTCACTTGTGTACGTGATAAAATATATGTATTGTTTTTTTAAATTTTAATAAGTTTTTAAATTTGGAGTGCATCGAGGAGAAAATACGAGTATAAGTATTGTTTATATTATGCTCATTTNTTCTTAAGAAAAATTAACAGAGAATTACCCGCTATTATACAATTTAATGATAATTTCCGTTGACAAAATTTATGGTTTTCACTTGTGTACGTGATAAAATATATGTATTGTTTTTTTTAATTTTAATACGTTTTTAAATTTGGAGTGCATCGAGGCGAAAATACGAATATAAGTATTGTTTATATTATGTTCATTTGGACACTTAGTTTTAGAGTTAGTAAAATTTTAAAAAGTCGTATATTTAAAATTTAATTACTCAAAAACTGTTTGACCGATTTTGTTTACATTTTATATGCTTAAAATTGCTTTTGCAATATCAAATTAATCAAAAGCCATTCCACCGATTTCGTTCAAAGTTTGCATGCTCCAAAATTTTATGATTACTATTATTATTTTTTTTTTTTTGTTGCTACAAAAGAGGATTTTTTTTCCTACTCAAATTAGGTAGTCTTAGTGCTAGTATTTTTTTAAGAGCACGCTTATAATTTGTAATAATTCAAAACTGAAATGGTCAATAGTTTTTGAGCTATCAAAATTTAAAAATTATTGTATTGTTAAAATTTGATTTCTCAAGAACTAATCGACTGGTTTTTTTCAAATTCTGTACTTTGCCATTTACTATTATTTTCGTTAAAATTATGTAAAAATTGCACTGAAAAATTCAGTTAACGAAAATTACGCCAACACAAAGACATTTTTCTAATAGTCAAAGTTACAACAGTAAAATATTTTTCCAGAAATGCTGATTGTGAGATTTTTTTTAAATAATACGTTGAAAGTGCCACAATACTAAACTCTAAATTCTTCTTATTAATATAATGAGTTAACATTCTTATTGAGTTAACACTCATCATAAGAATACGTTTCTGAATGTGTATTTTGTCCAAATATGTATAAAAAATCACTTTTACTTTGTATTATAATTTATTTAATTATTAGTTTTTCATTGTTTTATTACAATTTAAGGCACCAAATTGGATATACTTTAAAAATGTAACTAGGCAAAAAAAAGTAAATAATAATAATAATAATTAAATATCATTATGGTGTTTCAGTTTAAGTAAATAAAAGCAGTATCCTTTTAGATAAAAGAAAAACAAAGAAACTTAGTTTCTTTTTTCCTTTTTTAATTTAATAAAAATAAGCTTCCTTTAGAAATTTCCATGCCGTTGTTCGAATTTATGTGATTAGAATTTATCGCTTTTTAAATAATAACGAAATAAAGAAAAAAAAACATTCCTTTGTTTAAAACTTTTTTTTTAGTAGTCTTCCTTTTTTAAACAAAATATAACAAACTGATTTTTGATTTGATTGAAAAATGTCCATAGTGGGGTTCCAAATTTAAGTATAAAAAATTAGTGTCCTTTTAAATAGAAACATTTTTCATTCATTTTTTGTTGAATTACCGTAATAGTGTTTCAATTTAAACTATAGAAGTTAATTTTCTTTTTAACAACACAAAACAAAAGAAAAAATTCCATTCTTTTTTCCCTTTTTTAATTGTTAAAGAGGTAAAACAATTTGATTGATGAAAATAAGTCAATATTTAAACAAAACAGAAAATAAAAAAATAAAACCAAAAAAAATTTTTATAAAATATATTTCCTATTCTTTTTCTTCTTTTTAATTCTCAAAGTTTGATAAGAGAACAAAATGAATCTTCTTTTAGATAAAATAAAAAACTGAAAAAGAAATAAATATTGCTCTTCATTTCTTTCTTCCAATTTTTTATATTTTTCATTGTTAAGGTCACCTGACGTTCTCAAATCTTGAGGACAGTACACAATTTTTATTGATTGCCGTCAAAAAATTTCCCTTTCTTTGAGGACAAGGCATTTTTTTCAAATTTTAACATGTGTTCTCAAATGTTCTTGAATTTCTCCACAAACATATAATATTTCTTATTTGCAGTGTAGTATTAAAAAAAACTTGAATTGCGCATGTTTTTCTTTTGACCGCTTCCCTGATTATCCCGAGTTAACTCGGGTGTGTATATGTTGCACATATTTATTATCCCGAGTAAACTCGGGCATAGCAGAATTCTTCAATACGTTTTGTTTTATCACGTTTTTACTCGACCGGGAGCAAAACAAAAATTATTGATAATCTGTTGTGATTGGAAGTTGGCCAACTTTTGTTTGGTAAGCAATTTTGCCAAGTTTTGCTGTTTGTGGGACTGCAGGAGTGTTTTGTGCATTTGTATATACTATTGTTGCTAAATTTACATAGAAAAAAAGGGTAAAAAAAAATGGCGTTCGCAAGCGATGATTTTTCAGATTACGAATATATGAAAATATGCTAAGACTAATATTTTACATTTTCATTAGCCCGACATAATTTGGGATAGTAAACGGATGGTAAATTAAATATTTTTTACACAAAAAACTGTAATTTCAACTTGTATTATGTTTTGTTTTAGTTCTTTGTATTTATTAATGAAATATATTTAAAAAAAATATGTTGATTTTTCTGCATTTTTTTTCC